AGTTTTCTTTGGAGGTGATTTAAATGGACATATTGGTAAAGAGGTGTATTTTAAAAGTATTCTTGGTAGCTATGGATTTGGAGCAACTAATGAAGGTGGTAAAATCTTATGATTTTAAAATTTCTAATATGTTATTTAAGAAAAGAGATAAGCATCTCATTATTTATAAGAATGAATATTGTAAAACTAATATATATTATTTTTTCTTTTAAGGAAAATAGATTGTTTAGATTGCAAAGATTATAAAGTTATTCAAAGTGAAAGTTTATGCACCAACATAGTTTATTAGTTCTGAATTTTAAGATGACGGGGAAGAATATAATAAATAATGTAAAGCGTTGTGCTAACATTTAAAGAAAAGTTAACAAAAAAAATTTTTGAGAGTAAGATTCTAGATCTTAAAATCTTGTATGTGCATGAGGAAGCTAATGTTATGTAGGAAAAAATAGCTAGTGATATGAATAATATTGTGAGAGATGTGCTTGGAGCATCAAAAAGAAAAATTTATAATAGTAAAAATAGTTGGTGGTAGAATTAAAATCTGCAAGAAAAGATAAAAAATAAGAAGCTATATTATAAAAATTGATTTAGATGTAAAAACTCTAATAATTGAGTAAGTTATACATAGATTTGTAAAGATTCTAAGAAAATAATATGGGATGCAAAAAATTTAGTTTTTAATGATTTATAAAATATATTAGATGCTGAGTAGGGTGAAAAATATATGTATAAGTTAGCCAATTAAAGGGATAGGAGTAGTAGTGATTTAGTTTAAGTGAAATGCATTAAGGATGAAGATTAAAAAAATATTTTATTTGAGGAATATATTCAACAAAGGTGGATGAGATATTTTGCTAAACTTTTCTATAAAGATTGTGAGAATATTATTGACGATAGTGATCTTGGCACCATAAATAAAAATAAAGTTTTTTATTTTTATTAGCATATCAGTAAAATCAAAGTTAGAGAGGCTTTAAAGAAAATAAAGTGTGGAAAAAGCTGTTGGACCTAATGACATTCCTATAGAGGTGTGAAAATGTTTAGGAGCTGGAATTTCTTGGCTTGACAAAATTTTTAATATTAATTTGAAGACTAAAAAGATGTCACATGAGTGCAGAATGAGTGTATTGATTTCTATCTTTAATAGTAAATGTGATGCAGAAGATTGTGCGAATTATAGAAGAATTAAGTTAATGTGTTATACTTTAAAATAATGGGAGAAAGATATGGAGCATAGGTTATGATGTGATATGAATGTTCCTCAAAATCAATTTGAATTCATGTCGAGTAGGTCTACTATGGAAGCTATACATTTATTGAGAGGGTTGATGGAGAAGTATAGAGAGAATAAAGAGGATCTACATATGATATTTATTGATTTAGAGAAAACATATGATAAAGTTCCAAAAAAAGTGTTACGTAGAGCTCTAGAAAAGAAAGGGGTTAATAATGTTTATATTCAAGTCATTAAAGACTGTATGCAGGAGTTGTTACTTGTGCCCAAACACAAGGTGGTTTGACCAAGTATTTATTTACTCAAATTCCTTAATTCCAAGCACAAATATATTACTAATCAGCTACATGATGAATCCACTAATCACCATATGCTGACCATCAATATACATTTGACCATGTTTTAGTTCTAACAACAATTTTTTGACTTGTCCTTATTTTCATTGGTTAAAGTGGAGAAATGCATCGGGCTTGTTGTGTGATAGAAAAGTCCTCAAACTTAAAGAAAAATTATATAAGATGATGGTGAGATCTGCAATGCTTTATGGTGCATAATGCTGTCCATTAAAGAGACTTATAATATTAAGTCAAGTGTTGTAGAGATGAGGATACTCAGGTGGATGAGTGGCTTTACTCACAGAGACAGGATATGAAACGAGCATATATGTGAAAAGGTTGGAGTAGCTCCAATGGAAGTAAGATTAGAGAGAGTCGCCTTAGATGGTTTGGTACATAAAATGACGGCTTTCCGATTACTCAGTTAGGAGAAATATGTATTAGATTTGGCTTATGTTAAGAAAGTCAGGTAGATTTAAAAAGACTTGGTTATAAAATATTAGAAATGATATTTCTTCATGAGACTTAAATTAGAATTTGACTCTTAACATGACACAATGGAGAAAAAGGATTCATGTAGCTGACTCCATGTAGTGGGATAAAAGCTTGTTGTTGTTGTATAATCTACATCCGTGGGATGTGGGAGACAATTGATTCAATATCAAGAAGTCATATTGGCATATAAGCAAATATGTCACCAATAATTATTCTCATTGACAACTAAGTACATCCAATGTTATTACGAAGGGAAGACCCAAATCTTTTAAACTGACCCAACCCTTAAGCACACCCAACTCTTCTTTCCATTCTTTTATTTATGGAGTTTTAAGTAGATGAACATTTGAAACAAAATTTGTTTTAGATTTTTATTTAAAGCTAATCATAATTTTAATACTTATTCTTGTATAAAACAATGGATAGTTTGTATTTATCATAAAACTATCAATTATGAATTTTTTACTTATCTTGATAATGCTATTGCAACAAAATCTAAGCATTCTTCCTCTTGATTTAATATTATGGCATTATGTATTGGCTCTTATTTCTTAGGTTTTTATTTATGCAAAACACTAAGATACCGCCTAACAGAATGAGCACTACTTGTTCTCACAAATCCTAGATGACACGAGAACTTAACACGTGCAAGAGACCTCTTAATTATATTTGTTGGACATCGAAGTTGATTTAATGATAAAAGAGATTTTACCATACATAAATCTTTTTACCATTGAAGTGTTTGTCCTTTTATCATTGATGCTGCAATGGTATGACTTGTCATATATACGACCTATGCAATATGAGTTGGAGCCACCCGATGATGGGTTTCTGCTTGACTTGTGGCTCCTTTGTTTTGAACTGGAATTGCAACTATGAAATTAACCTTTTTGTTTGCTCAAGTCACTGTGCTTCAACATAGAAGATGAAACTGAAGCACAAGGTCCCCTGACAACCAGCTTCTTAATTGATGAAGGACCCTTAAAGATATCGGTCTTTTCTTTAGATTTGGTGCAAGCTTGCGTTTTGTTGATATCCTAGTTATTAACAATCATGCATCTTCAACTTAATCACGTTAAAATTAGAATATACTCTTGCACACCTCACCGCACAGGATTTCCTATATAAATAGTCTCTAACATATAGCTCATTAGCAAAAAATAATTTCTTGTTAGGACATATACATTTTGTTTGGGTTGAAAGAAAGTGAATGACAACAAGTGATATCTCAATCATTTGTTAGCTGATTATGAATTTGCAGCCATTTATATGAGCTTTTCAACCATATTTTCCATTTATTCGCTCAAATTCCTTAATTCCAAACACAAATGTATTACTAATAAGCTACACGCTGAATCCATTAATCACCATATGATCATCAAAACACCTCAATATGCATTTAACCATGTTTTAGTTCTAACAACAATTTTTTGACTTGTTCTTATTATCATTGGTAGCATCTCCTTTCTATTTAAAGCTTGATAATCTCTCTTAATTGACATTTTTTGCAATAAAAATATGCTAATTCCTTGTACATATAATGAGACTTAAGTTGTCGTGATTGGAGTTAGAACCTTCTTAAAAAATCCTCCACAATCCAACATTCCCTAGCATTCAAATCATTATGAAGTGAATTCTTTACATCCCTCTAAGCTAATTGTATTTTTGTTAAATAATATGGTGTCAGGAAAATGCTTATAAAAAGGAGATAAAGAACATAAGAGTAACAATGCTTTATTTTCAGTAATAATGAAATAAAACACTTTAACATATGATTTAATGAGTAACTCTTTTCATGCAAAGCAAGCATAATCTTTGCTACCAACAAATTTGTTTGATAGGTTTTTATCTTGAGCTACAATCCCTTCATAGTTGTATCCTTCTACATCTTATAGATTGCATTGTCAAGGTAGTATTTTTTTCATCTCTCTTTAATCTTAACGTATAGTCTGACATATGTGATTGCTCCATAAATGCTTTCATTTGTCCCTATATGATTAACATAATTTGTGTCTTGATCCTCTAAAACCTAAAATTTGTTGAGCCATCAAACTTTTTAGTCTCATACTTGGTCGTTGTTTTATTCATCATAAGGATTGGATATCAGTTTTTAGAGAAAAACCTACTTGTTGATGTAAACCCATCTACCAATAACAAATATAATGAACATAAAGTAATAGTACACAGACCAAGCATCATACAAAGATACCAAGATTTATGTAATTTGTCAAAAAAAAAAAAAAGATTTATTTAATTTTTAAAAAAAAAAAAAAAAAAAAATCCTTGGAGAACAAATCAATCAAACTATCAAGTAGTCACGTAAATTAAGCAGTCACGTAAATTTACAAACAAATAAGGTAGGAGAACATTCTTTCTCATGCTCAAGAAAATCAAATATCGCTTAGTAGAGAAGCTTCAAATTTCTCAAACCAAGCTAAACAAATAGGAAAATTATAGAATATTTGGTAGAAATATAAGATCCACATAGAGATTTAATAAAATATAAAGAGCTTGGTTATATAAGATCTCTTCTTTGATGCTCCTTGAAGGTAGTGCCACACAAGTTTTATCTCTGTTCATCTCTTGTTGTTTTGCTTCTTATATTCTTATGGTAGTTGGTACATCCCAACTTTTTTTTTTTGGTTACATCCCAACTTTTTCCTTCTTTTTATGGGAGTTTAAAGACATGAAAAATTTAATTAAAATCGGGTTTTATTTTTGTTTTGAATTTAACTTGTAAAAATAAAGTTTTAAGCCTTGTATTTATCCTGAAATTATCTATTTCGATTTCTTTTCTTATTTCGTAGCAATCTTGATTGATATGAGCCATGCATTTGAAAGATAATTCAAGTAAACAATTTAGACTATGCTTTACTTCAATATGGGGATGACCGCTGGATATTTTAGAAGTACTTATTATTATTTGGAATATGCAGTGTATAAGAGATCTAAATGAAAACTATATGAAGAAGATGGCAACCATTAGGGGTATTCAGGCAAGACACTGGGAAGATTTTCTCCAATTCAGCCAGAAAAGGCCGCAACAGTTTAGCGTCCAGAATGCTTATGGCCAACCTGCTCATCCTGATTATGATCAATCCTCTAGGAATCTTCCTTATGGAGGACCTATGGATTCAAGAAGCAGATATGGCTACCCTGGTGAGAATTATCAAGCTCCCAGACCCCATGAAGCATATGGTGAGTTTCAGCATCAGCGACGTGATGATTTTGGTGCGACACATTGGCGATATTGATCCTGCTAAATATGGAGGTGAGTCAATCTATGCCCTTTAGTCATCTAATTTACTCGGACTTCGTTTCGGATGGTTTTTTTGCTTCTTAAAGCAGCTTTCAAGTACAAAAATTTGAACTTTTGGACTAGAAAGTTGTTTTAAGAATCAGTAAAAAAGCTGTCCTAAACGAACGTTAATCAATGAAGCGCCATGGCTCCTTGTATGAGAGATCTAAAACTGATATGAAATATTGAAGGTCAGGGATGCTGGCAGTGTTTAAATATATGGAATGTAGCTCCTGTTCTTGATATCCTAAATCGAATTATTTTCTGTACTAAGGAAGTCAGATCACCTGGAGATTTTCTTGCCCGTGCAGGTGCGCCAAGTTTCAGATGGTTTGGTTTGTTTAGATGAAAATGCCTTTAAGATGGAATCGTCATGAATACTTATGTGAAACTTTCTATGGTGTTCTTCCATTTCTAACTATCAAACTGTTTAAAGTTTGCTCTTTTAGCTTATTTACTTTTCGTCTCAAATGTTTTTTGCATGTAATATGTTCTTCATTTCTCTTGCTAATGAAGGCCCTCAATCAAGTAGATGCTGGGTTTTTTAATCATTTGCTTTCAAATTTTCTGCTAACTGGATATCTGAATCCCCTTCGGTCCACCAAATCACTGATATTGTGATTGTGATTTTGGATCTATTGTTGAGTCTAATTGTTTTTAGTACTACTAAGCTATTTATAATGATTTTTAATGAATTGAAGAGAATTTTTCTCAGCAATGAATGCTAATCTGTTTAATTATATTTTATAATGTTTAATCATATATTTTGTTTTTCTAATAAAATTCTGGGAGGAACATTTGTATTGATTAATATATTTGTAATTATTCTACTAGGATTTGATTTTTTTTTTTCAATGAGATCAGATTCTTATAGTAAAAAAGTTATTTGATATTTTTAAGCCAAATAGAATTTTTTTTTAAAAAGTAGATTTGAGTTTAATATATATATTCAAACATCTTCATCTATTTCTATATCTTTGTTTTAAAAGTTTTGAGCTCACTCAAAATTGATTCCGAGTTACTCTAGAGTAGGATTAATTATTCTATGCGGACGTCGAATGTTAGTAGAGATTTTGCGGTACTGCTGATTTTGTACTCCAAATGGTGTTTTGCGTTTGGCCCTATGTGAGAATAATTTCTCCTAGAGTAGAGATTTTGAGATGAATTGATTTGGAGTAAAATTGAGTTGAATTATTTTGATAGTTTTTTTTACTTATAAAATTAATTTTGTACTATACTTTTTTAAAAAATAATAAAAAATAGTTGGTAAAAACCATCTCAAAGGAAACTTTAGCTTAAATTTTCATTGTCATCACCAAGCAAAATTGAACAAGAATTAGTGTGGTGGTTGTCACTCATCTTAGTCAGTTGATTGATAGTTTTTGGCCTCATTTCATGATAGAATTTTTGTAAAATTTTGGTGAGAAACGATTGTTTCAAAATTTTCTTTTTCTAAAAGGAGACGCAAAAATAAAAAACTTGGAAAAATTGATAAGATAATGGAGATTTGAAAATTGTATTTTAAAGTTATGCATTCAAACACCAACTAATTAACATAAATTGAAAAAAAGGTACTAATTAAGCCGTCTCAAACGAGGCCTTAATTATCAATTAATAGGTTTCGACTTTAAATATTACATTCATACTCTATTAATTGGCCTAAGTATTCTAGGTGTGAATCATTCTCTTCCCCAATTAACCAAATAGCTTTATAATCTTAAATTAATGGCTTAAAAATAATCAAGATTTGATTTCTTCCCTTCAATCCCATCAAAGTTGATCATTAGGCTACTCTAATATCTTCACATATACTAAGTATGTTATCATCTTCCCAAATTCTTTATCTTGTACCTTTTTTTTTTTTAATATTTGAAAGTAATAATAAGAAGAGGAGGATTGGTGGTGTGCTCGATAAAGGTTCCTCATATAAATAAAGATAAAAAAAATAAAGTGCATCAAAGTCTAACTAATGAAGGCCCGATTCAGATGATGTGAAGCAAAGGGTTAAAGTGTTATCTAAAATGACGCCAAGGAGGGCACTAGGATGACTGGACGCAGAGAAACGTCCGGTCGGAGGTCAAATCCCGCCAAAAAACGAGTTGTACTGAGCAAATACCGAGCAATACCAAACAATAATGAGGAATACCATCATTTGAAGACCCAATACCGAGTTATATCGAGCTAAACCAAGAAATACCGAGTTATACAAAAATTGTATCGAGTTTTTCCTAGAAAAACTTGGTACAACTCGGTATTTCTCGGTACAGCTCGGTATTGGTCTTCAAAGAGCGGTATTCCTCGTTTATATCAAATAATACCTAGTTGTACCAAGCAAATACCGAATTTTTTGGCGGAATTTTGCCTCCAACCGGACGTTCCTCTACGTCCTTACACCGGACCTAATAAAAATTTTGCATGGTAAGTCAACTTATTTGTTTTCCTTTTTTTATTTTTTCGCAAAATGAGCACATAGAATGTATGCTCTACGAGTTCCAATGCAACTTATTTATTATTAAGCGACTTAAATATAATATGAATAAATAATAGCATATTAGTTCATTTAAAAGGCCCTTTCAAGGTTTAACACTTTAAAAATATTTTAATAGCTATGTAAATTATAAAAAAACATAGTTAGGCTTCTTTTGAGACTCCTTTTAATCACTATTTTTTTTACTCTTTTAAAATATTAAGTTTCATTTGGGACTGCTTTTTTACTGCTTCTCAAAAAAAATTTCTTATATAAAAATTTTAATTTTTATATTAAAAAACTAATTTAATAAGTAAAAAAAACAGTTAAAACAAAATCCTAAAAAATAGTAAGAAAACAGTCTCAAATGAAGCAAATTATTAGGTTTTTTCGTCCGGATTCAATGCACTTTTAGTTTGCTTTTGATGTATCTTTGAAAAAGAATAGCTAATACACATTTTTATTTGCATTTAACTGCTTTTTTGTTTAGTATTTGCAAAAATAGAGCAAAAGCGCAACAAATATCTTACTCATTGAGTATTTGCTACCCTTTTGTTGTGCTTTTGCCGAGCTTTTCAAATACTCAATAAAAGAGCAAATAAAAGAGCAACAAAAGAAAAGCTAATATGCAATTAAAAATGTATATTAGCTGCTCTTTTTAAAAAATATATCAAAAGCGTATTAAAAGCGCTCTAAAAACGCATGAAATCCGGACGAAAAATTAGGCCTCGTGATCGGACATAATAATTTGCCCTCAAATGAAGGCTTAGAGCTTCATCACCGATTCCATGAATCAATATGTCAACTTAAAATAAACAAAGTTGTTAAAACAAAGTTTTTTTTTTTAAATATCATATATGAACACATGCATATCCTATTGAAATGGCGGTGTTTTCTTTATTGCAAAAGACGGTTTCAAGGAAACAACATCCCTATATTTAAAAAAGAAAACTTCAAAAACTAAATAGCCCAATCGAAGTGGCCCTACCACAACTTTGCAGGGAACGAAATTCTCTACCAAATCAACAAAATACAGATTCAAACACTCACCTTATATATTATTGTCCTATGCCCAAACCATTCAAACGCTTCAAATCAATAAATCCCATCATTAGAGAGAACCAAATAACTTCTTATGTGCATCTTTGTAAAGAAAAGTTTAGTATTTTACAGTCAGTAAAAAGCCAAAAAGCCAGCTTTCAATGACATGGAGGCACAGTAAGAGCTCTGACAAGAACAACAAGTACAGAAACATATCGTA